TTTATGTGGAAAAAACAACAACATTCTGGTCGAAATACCTTCAAGCCAGAAGTTTTGGGTTTTTTTCCCACATAAAATGTAAAGTAGAAAGAATGGTGCCTGAAATTCTAGATTTGGCCCACTTAGGCAAACTGGAACAGAACTATATCTGTAGTAGCTGTATATGGCCTTTGGTGGGGCTCCTTTGTGACTTTGAGTGCTGCAACGGCATCAGTAAATAAAAATTATTAATTTTTTTGCTTACATTTTTATTGTGGGAACAACAATGAAGTGTATGTATGTATGAATGCAGGGCAATGAAAAGATTTTCTGCAGTTATGCTTTACCTTCAGTGAAATCAGTGGACACCCACCAGGCAAATCCTACAGTAATCAATATTCTTTTCAGGTCCTGGCATAATAGCCTTGATGATGAGAGGCATTGGGAATGAGAGTATGGATTTAACATGGGCAGCACATTGAAGGATGGCACCATGCCCTACAATACCAGCAGCAGTGCTTTGTACACCAACATTACAACCCCTCTTTCCTAATTTTTCTTCCTAATGCCAGGTCATGCATTCTGTTACACCACTTAATTACTACCAAACATTGTAGATATTTATGCAGACTTTAACTTATCATTTGAAGGAGTCAGCTGGTACTTCATTAAAAAATCTTTACACTGCAGTAATGGTAGAGATGGGAATGGCGTTGTCCACCCTTGGGGAATGTGCAGCTCATAATTATAGAGATTCTCATCTAAAGTGGGAGGCCCAGAATTAAATTTTGCAATGTTTGGCTCTGTGACACAAAAATTACTCATCCCACTGTCACTACGCCTAAGTTTCTCACATGGACACAAAACAAGCTAATCTAAATAATATGATACAGTACATACTGTACATAGAGTAGAGACAGAAATATAGATAAATAGACAATTTGGAGGACAATGCCAAAATTTAAAAAACAAAAATTTGTCAAATTAACTCTTAAAACTTCAAAACATGATGACTGTTTTTTCCATGTACAACCTAATATTCATCTCCATGTGTTTATTTTCAATAAGCTCCCCATCCCACACATATAGATAAAAAAACAATATATGATGCAGTATAAATTAATTATATTGATTTCTGTACAATCTACAGGGTCTTGTTCCTTTTGCACAACTATAAGGACTGTTCCTACTGCCTCTGCCTCACCTAAATTGGGCCAAATCAGTGACCAAAACATCAGAGTTTGGTAATACATACTGTATGTTGACCATTTAAGAGCAAGGCCACTCTGGGAAAACAAACTCTTTTCAGTGATTTGTTTGTGGAATGAAGTTAGGAATTAGATCAGAATTGCTTTTGCAAGCCAACACATAATCACAGCTTAAGTAGTTTCAAAGTTTTTCCTTGGGAACATGGATTTCTTATGTATTTACAGCAATCATGCATTACTGCATCACTGAAATATTTTGACTTTGAATCAATGTTACAAATATTTACAAGTAAAATGTTTTTTGACATGGTACCTCCCTAAGGCAGAAACATTTGGTTGTTGTTGAGTATCCTGGTTCTCACTGAGCTATAGCCAGAACCCATTGCTCTTAAGAATTAGGTATGATGAAGTGAATGGTATAATGATTCATTATTAATACTGGGGCTTATACATTTCTTGTAGGTACATAGGCATGTAGCAGTGCTGATCTTCTAACAACTGTCCCCAGATGTTGCTTTTTGTGGGACATACACGTAACAAAACTGAGACTTTTAAATCAGTTCATGAACTGCTAAGAGTGACTTGAGTTGCATTCATCCTGAAAACTCACAGGAAGAAGAGAAGAGTTTTTCAATACGAGGGTATTCATTTTGTGTGTAGAAGAGCTGTCCAAACACTTCACACTGTAAGCCAGACAGAAAGCGTGGGAAAAACAGTACTGATATTCAGAGAAACTAATTGCGTAATCATAGAGCCATCATTTCTTTAAAATTATGATCATGATTGCAGTGTATCATATGTGTGGGGCAATAACTTGAAGTGAAGGTGCTTCGCTGTAGTTGGGAGCCTCTGGATAACGCTGAATAAGCATAACTAACAAGCTTTCGAGTTGTGCCATTCATTTCTGCAATATTGTGCAAAGTATTTGGTCTCCAGTGGTAATAAAACACAAGTTATTGCCTTACTTCTTTTCCGATCTCCCTACCTCAGTAATACATTATTTTACCCTAGCATTATTAGTAAGTGACTATTATTATTAGTGTCTGCAGCCCGGACATCGAGCTCGTCGCCGTCGGACTTCGTCCATGTTATCT